TTTTGAAAATATCAAAATGATTTGGAAAATAAATCTAACTACTTGCATTGATGGCCAGCGTCGAACTGGAGGATTAATTATTTGGAGGTCAGGAAGTGTCATGGTTGTCTATCGTGGAGGGAATTATGAAGGACCTTCTTCTAAGTCTGAACCCATTGATGGAGTAAGAGAAGCTCTTTTTGTTCCAGATGTTTCTACCGTTGGCAATGCAATAATGGCCAGTGAAACTTTTGAAACTTCAACTCCAGAAAAGGGTGAGCCAACCATGAGGAATCTGGATCGCACCACAACCATGACAGAAGAGGAAGCTGAGTATAACAGTCTACTAGATGGTTTAGGTCCTCGCTTTCATGAATGGTGGGGTACAGGAGTACTTCCTGTAGATGCTGATTTACTTCCTCCGAAGATTCCTGGTTATAAAACACCCTTTAGGCTTCTTCCTACAGGAATGCGGTCACGCCTAACCAATGCAGAGATGACTAATTTACGGAAAGTTGCTAAATCACTTCCTTGCCATTTTGCTCTTGGTATTCTCACCTCTTTTGAATACTCGGTTCTGTTTATTGTATCTGTTTCCAATGCTAATTTTTTAATACTACTTTATAGGGAGAAATAGAAACCACCAAGGGTTGGCAGCTGCAATAATTAAACTTTGGGAGAAAAGCTTAGTTGCAAAAATTGCTGTGAAACGGGGTATTCAGAATACAAATAACAAGCTAATGGCAGAGGAGCTAAAGGCATGTTCTATACCTTTTCCACTCAAGGCAATTATTAATGTATTTACCAGTATTATATCTTTCTATATTATATTCTCCAATTTAATGCACGAGAGAAAGAAAAAGGATCTCTGGAGGTATGTGCTGTGTTTTCCCCATTCAAGGTAATTATTATTGTTCTATATACCATTTATTGGTGTTATATTATGTTCTATATTTAATGTCTTTGTAAAATAGCAAAAGAAAAAAGGTTACTTAAACATGGAATCGGTGAATTTTATCCACCTTCTGAAATGTCTTAGTTTGTTTTTTTGTTTTTGTTTTTTTTTTAAAGAAAAAGAATTCATCTGAAAATAATCTTCCACAGAAATGATTGCTAAACGCTAAGCACTCATGTCATTTTTTCCTTCTGATGCTGGGGCCTGGGTGGAGTATGGAGATGATTTAATGGTCATTCGAGAGCAGTGACGTTAGATTTTTTGCTTCTGCTTCAATAATATTCAGCTACTGCACCACTTTCGTTTACCTCCTGTAGTGGAAATGAGTTGTCTAAATTCACTTCTTATAAGAGAATATGGACACTCCTCTTGAATTTATAGTATTAGTGAGAGAAAAAACTATTGTACTACCTATTAATTGTACTTCTTATAGTTGTTTATCTGCTGTTTCATGAGTTGCACTACAAACAATTAGCATGGTCAAAGCCAAACCAAAATTTCGAGGTAAAGAGCAGTTAGTGTTGGCAGAATTAACGCCAATTTTTGATGATTTCCTTATCTATTAACTGTAACTGAGTGGCAGAAATAAGTAGCAATAAAACATTTAAATTGAGTTTGAACTCTAACCTATTGTTGAAGGGGAAAAATGAATCCTGCATATCAAGAGCAAAAGATTATTTAATAATCTTGTCGATACCTTCTAGGCTTATTATCGTACAGTTAGAATACAGTAAAAGAAGATATGTAACTAAGACGCTGGATAGGTTTTTATTTCTTGTTGGGTAAGCTGAACTAGTGATTCTTATGTTTCGATGTTGTCTCTAGATGAATTCATGGTTTACGATAACCTGCTGTTCTTCCAGATTAATACCATAAGTAAAATTCCTTTGTGATTAGAATTATATAACCAGAATTAATGCATGTTTTTATGTTGTTTTCCTGCAGTTCCAGAAACAAGATAGGATATGATAATACAATAATACTGAATTTAGTTTTATGTTCATTGTAGATATTGTTTTCTCTTTTATAGACATGCTGGAAATCCAAGACGATGCACAAAGAAATGTTTTACCTTGCAAAAAGAGAAGTGGTTTTATTTCCACCTGTTTTGTTTTGCAGAGCTTAACGGGTGGTGTCTTGCTTCTCAGAAACAAATATTATATTGTCATATACCGTGGAAAGGATTTTCTCCCTACAAGTGTTGCTTCTACTTTGTCAGAAAGGCAGGAGTTGACAAAAGAGATCCAAGATGTTGAAGAGAAAGTGAGAAGTAGAGGATTGGAGGCAGCTCAATCCAGTTCAGATAAAGTACAGGCACCTGCAGGTACTTTGGCTGAGTTTTATGAAGCTCAAGCTCGGTGGGGAAGAGATATATCTCATGAAGAACGTGAAAAGATGGTTGAAGAAGCTTCAAGAGCCCAGCATGCTCGGCTTGTTAAACGAATTGAACATAAACTAGCTGTTGTAAGTATCTTTCTTCTTTCCTTAGATATTTTTCGCGGAACATAAAGCAACAAAGGGAGTCATTTTCTGTTACTTTTAACTTTTGGAATAATCAGTCATCCAATTTAATTATTTCAATAATCAAAGCCAAAAGATTCCAAATTCACACTTGTTTTACCTTCATTGAGTTTGAGCCATACAAAGTCCATTAATCTTGTTTTCTTTACATTCCAAATTGGTCATTATTATTTCTTGGGCTTTTGTGGCCTCAAGAAAGTTGAGGTCACTTGCTGACTTCAAAATCTTGCTTTCACTTGAGAGGCAGGCAAGTTAGAGTACAATATAAATAACAGGTTTAGCCTTTTTTATCAACTTAAGCTTTTAATAATTGTCTGTTCAATTTAATTGTTTCATAGATATCTAAGATGCTTTATAGATCACCAAGCAATTGATATCGAGAAATTTATGTTTATTGTTTCTTTATGTCATACATTATGTGGTTTAATGCTTCAATGTTTGAACAGGCCCAAGCTAAAAAACTCAGAGCAGAGAGACTGTTGGCAAAAATAGAAGTCTCTATGGTTCCTAGTGGTCCTGATTATGATCAAGAAACAATCACTGACGAGGAGCGTGTTATGTTTCGAAGGGTTGGTTTGAGAATGAAAGCATACTTGCCTGTTGGTGGGTAAACTTCATTTGACTGTTGAGGGTTAGACTGAAGTTATAATACTGATTTTTTGTAAAAATTTAACAGGTATTCGTGGCGTTTTTGATGGTGTTATTGAGAATATGCATCTGCATTGGAAGCATAGAGAACTAGTTAAACTAATAACCAAACAAAAGACCCTAGCATTTGTTGAAGATACAGCAAGGTTGTTAGAATATGAGAGTGGCGGGATACTGGTGGCTATAGAGAGAGTCCCTAAAGGATATGCTCTTATTTATTATCGTGGGAAGAATTACCGCCGACCCATTAGTTTAAGGCCAAGAAACCTTTTGACCAAGGCAAAAGCATTGAAGCGCTCAGTTGCCATGCAACGTCATGAGGTTTCATCTCTTAAACTTCACATTTAGGAAATATATCATATATAGAGCTTGTCTAATCGTTATGTATGTCCTAAAGACTATACTTTACATGAATACTGCAGGCTCTTAGTCAGCACATATCTGAACTGGAGAAAACCATTGAGCAAATGAAAGAGGAACTTGTAAGTGGTAGTTTCTTTATTGACTTTCTGTTAACATTGTTTCATGCTCTACAGGTATTCATAAATGAATGTCATTAGTTGTTAATTTTAGCTATCTATGTTGGTTTGGGACTATTCCTCTTGTCTTTATGGACATAAAAGGATGTTGAAGTACATATTTGTATGTATGTTCACTTGTGATATTATTGTGAATATAAACATTCATTGTCTTCTCATTTCTGTACTATATGTTAGCTTTATATGTGACTGCAGTTTTCAGTAATTCATGTTTGGTAAATTTGAATTCTTAATTCAGTAAAAACTTCAGGCCCGTTGAAAGATATTTTATGGAATTTTTCTCAGGGTGTTACTGAAGATGCAGAGGATGAAAATGATTGGAGCTCTGGGGAACATGGCCAATTTGATCATGCTACAAAATTCACCCAGGTGATATCCCATCTTTTGCTAGATTTCTTTAGGGCTAGGATGGAATCAATTGTTAAAGTCACTTTTTCCCTTGTCAGTACAAAAAATAATGTTCACTCTTAATGGGAAATAAGTTGTTGGTATTCTCATGCAGACTGAGGATGCCACTTTGTACATGGAATGTGACAGTGGCAGTGACAGTGAAGATGATGAGGAGGTGGATGATGATAACAGCAACATTTATTGGGAAACAGATGAAGAATCTGTATTTTCAGGCTTTGAAAACTGTGGTAGTACTCTGAGCAAAAATGATTGATGAGTTTAGAAGCAATTCTATGGAATACTTGTTGGTGTCCTTGTCCAATGCAGGTATAATCTATTTTTTTCCATGTAATATGTCATTTTCCTTCATAGATTAGTATTCTATCAATTGCCAGTTTCTCACATATTAATGTGCAGGTATCATAAGTAGCAACTCTGTGCCAAACTGCCTATCTTGCATCAAGACTTCCTTTTTTCTTATGTCATTCTCTGGTTCATCTGTGTCGTGCAATCATATCTGCATTTGTTTTTCTGAAGGAGTGGACAAAGATCATGATATATGCATCGTAGCATGAAACTCATTTGTCTCTGTTTTTCGAGGATTACTGCATTTTGTGATCTATCTGGTGCACTAATAAAAAAATTTATATCAAATACCTAGAGATATATGCTTATTTGCAAGTTTCTATCAAATGGATGAGGCTGTTAGACAGATTGTTATGGTTTACGACTTAAAAGTTAAAATGAATAGTGTAGCTCAAGTGCTGATGAGAGTAATGAAACTGTGGATGATGCAGGAGTTCCCAAAAAGAAGTTCCAGGCAGTCTGTAGCTTCAACGGGAGATAAGCACATGAAATGTGTGCAGTTACACATTTTTTACCAGTTAAGAGGCAATCTTCCCTCTGTCAAGGTTGTGTAGAGAAGCATGGATTTGTCTGTTGAAGCAGTTTCTCCTGGATGATTGAAGCTATCGCCTTCCATTGCATCTAATTGGGGGTGAGTTTTTAGTCATGCACCTGATTTGATTGCCAACTTTGCCAACTTCACATTTCATATGGGCATGGTATGGGAGAAAGCATACGTCAGAACTACTGAAGCCTGTAGGTTAGGCTGGTTAGCCGCAGAGAGGGAATCAAGAGTTGCAACCTCTCCAGTTTCTCTCTCCTATAACCCAACTTATCATTACTGCTTTTTAGTTCGGCCATCCCTAGAAAAACCAAAATCCCCCAGAAGAGAAGACAATGTTACAAATATTATACGCTTGAGTGGAGATTTGCTGCAAATAATTTTTGAGTGATTTTCTGTTAATCAAGGTTGCGACTTGTACCATTAAAAGGAGGGGAGAAAGAGGATGTAGATGACATTAGTAATCATCATTATTTCTAATTAATCACAAGCCTGTGTATATGGGTTTTATTTGCTCAACGCTTGCACCTCTAGGTAAATTAGATGAAACGCTAATTTGCTAATTGCTAAGTGGTATTGCACATGGACATGATGTTGTAGTTTTGTATTTAACTTATAGTTTTTGGTAGTAAAAACAACTCGAGATTATCATTTTAGTTAACTAAACCATTGTCATGTTACAATTAAAAAAAAAAAAAATCTAAAAGAATTCTAAAGAATTGGAGATTTTTGTTGTTTTATTCATATTTTATTTTCTTTAGGTTTGAGAATTATAACTCAAGAATTGATCTTAAGAATTTAACAAGCGAAGTTAATCTTATTTAAGCTATATAAATTATAACAACAGATACTAAGAAAAAAAAGATACTTGAAATTACTATTTTGTATATATTTTTTCAATTTTGGGTTCTAATTTTAAATCATTTTCTGTGCACCGGTTAATATAATAAGAACCTCTTTTACAATTTTTATAAAAATTTTGAGAAATTTTTTTTCTTAAAATAATTTCATAAACTAAACTATTTAATTAAAAACATAACAAATTAAGATGAAATTAGAACGTAATCTGTCAGAGATAATTAATAATTTACCAAATAAAAAAGCCAGATATTCTGTTGTGGGTTCAATAGACAGGCTTCGTTTTCAATAAGCATCATCTAAAGTAAACTGCGGAATTTTGAAACCTGTATATTAATTCAATGAGACACTTAAATTTTCAATCCCCCAGGGAGTTTACATGCAGAACCATACACCCATGTCAACGATATAACTGAATATAACCTTCTACCATATGCATTTGCTAACTCAAAAATCTTAAATTAAACCAGCACCTAAGAGAGAGAATGAACATACTCCTGAGAGCCTTGACAACAAGCTAATATAAAACCATTACAAACAAATGTAACCATAACAACCTCAGCCGAGCTGCAGAATCTGCAAAATCGCGAAGCACCAGATGCAACTAATCTACCCAAAAGCACTAGTACCATTCATTGGCGCAGAATTTGCTGCAGCTGAAGCACTTGATTCCTCTGCTCCGGAGGTAGAAGATTTATTTGTTCCGGCGTGAGGCTCATAACCTGCTGAAGCAGTGCTTTCTCCATTTCAGGAGTCAACTAGACAAACGACAGAAGAAAGCCAGATTGTTGAGAGAACTTCAGGTAGGACTAAAACAATAGTAAATTACACACAAGTTGAGTCTAGAATTTTAAAAAGAAATAATATTTTAGTCATTGAATAAAAATTATATCTATGAATTAAATTTAATTTTTTAATAGACGTTAAATAATAACCTAAAATGTGTCACATGAGAGTCACATAACTGTCAAATCATTAAAAAAAATTCTGTGCATAAGAACAATAGTAAAAATGCAAGAAAAAGTGTTTATGCGCATAAGAACCTATTGTTTCTTTATTCTCAAAATTTTTACAGAAGTTGATGAAATGACTAAAAATAACTATCTGAAAAAATTGTGAACTCAGTTGCAATTATACCCAAAGCCTAAAACTTCTGTCAAATATTTGGCAAGTAAGATAACTTACAGAAGCAGGGCGAGGCGGCTGATTGCCTGACCCCATCTGACCAAGAGCTACTGGTGGTGGTCCTTGCAGCTTGGGTATTGTTGAACTATCTGGTGGGCCAGACATCCAAGAGGATCCTCTGTCTACTTGCATGGAACTTCCACCTGGATTGCTAAACTCTGCTCCTAAATGAGGGCCTCCTCCCTGATATTAGATGTATACTCTCATATTAGCCAGAAAAGACGGCACATTGTATTAACCCAATAACTCAGAATGAAATAGATTTGTAGAATACTAATGGGATTTATATGATGTTACCAACAATAATACATCATGCTTGGTGCATTATGTGCATACCTACAGGTTATTGAGTTTGGTTGTTGGTAGTTAGACTTAATAACCACAGTCTATGTCCCCGCTTGAATTTTTACTAAAGAACTTTAGGGCCTCATCAACTAACAGCCAAGCTTGAAGATTACACGCATGGAAGTGAGGCCCTAATAGTTGAAGATAACAAAAAGAAATAACAGATGCCACAGGATAATATACAGAATGGGAGTGTCATTCAAGATTATGAACGTGAATGCATTATTAATAAATATCTTGAATTTATATTTTTAAGTGGCAAAGTATACATATCCCTTACAAGTAGCTCAACAATAGTTGAGAAAAATTTGAGATGAAAATTCTGGCTTATAACCAGAATTCATTTGAAGTAAAACCAAGAGCACATTCCTATCTCCCGTTTTCCAAAATTGTCATTTAATTTTTATTTTCTCAAGAAATCGAAGAAAGTGCTTTACTTGCTAGAATTGAAAAGCTACCTTCCGAAAATAGTAAAGTGAAAATATGTTATTGTAACTTGTTTTTCTTTTTTATAGATTTGAGAAAACTGAAACTAACTGCATTTGACAAGTTTGTTCTCTATTTTTATCTACAGAAACTATTAGATAATTTTCTTATATTTTTTTTAAATCAATTTATAGAACATGAAATAACAGAATAGCATGACCAGTTATCTAAAATGATATTAGAACCGTATGCTTATCATTATTATTTACACAGAAAACAAGAAAACAGTTCAGATTCAATTATAACGGAAAACGAGGGAAAATAACTTTATTCTGTCTGCTATTTTGACCTGTCAGAAGAGCCGTTTTCTATTAACTCGGTTTTCTGTACTATAGCACCTGAATGTGTTTTTCATCAACTTTTTTGTTTTCTCAAAAAATGTTCTGAAAAGCACTCCAATTTTCCAAGACAGAACCCAACCTAATCTTTTTCCACCTAGAATTTACATTGTATGACATTGCTATAATATTTATGCAACTTGCAGATGGTTAACATGTATCTTTGGAGAAATAATATCAAATATTAGCAGATAGCCAATGAAGCTCATGATGACCATTTGAACCTGGATGATTTACGATAAACAGATATGACCTATATACTTAATCCAAACTGGACAGCAACAAATGCCAAATACTGATCAAACTATGCAGACCAGCCCTGTCAGAATGCATACTGAAAAAGAAAACTCAGCTAAATAAATCAAACAGAAAAAAGATGTATAAACCTGGTACAGTGACTGAGGTGGCAGCTGACTTGGAAGTGGTGGCTGACCCTGTGGAAATGGAGGCCCAATGCTAGGTGTAGGTTTTGTACCTGGCTGAAAAGTCAACATTTAAAGTAAGTTATTCCAAGAACAAGTGAAACATATGAAAGGCCACTAAATGCATACTTTCCACTCACATGAAACATGGGTTGTGAAAGATGCTGAGGGCCACCAGGGTGTTGAAAACCCATATAGCCCCCATCTGCGGAGCATATTGATGATGATAAGTTGGTGGTGGCCTTGGGTTGCAGTGGCAATGGTGGTTGCAAAGGCAAATGAGTATTCCAGACGCTGGTAATGGTTGTTGCAACTGAGTAGAGGATGGAGGAAGCTGA